GGCGCGAAGACGGGCTTCACGGGCGCGTTGATCTCCGCGGACGTCATGCCCGCGCCGTCGTGGGCCTGGGCAGGAAAAGAGTGATTCAACGTCGCTTCAACGTGAGTGTTCCGCGCGCGGGCGTCCCGGAAAAAGCATCCACGCTTCGAGACCGTTCCGAGAGATGATCGCTCGTCCAAAAACCAGCCGAAACGAGTGGAAAACGGCCGAGAAAGGAGCCTTTGAAGTTGGGAATTTCGCTCTCTTGTCCCGCGCCGTCGTGGGCCGGCGCGTTCGTCGCCGTCGCGAGCGCCTTGACGCGGTTCGCCGTCGCGGACGAGAGGCCCGCGACGGGCGCGTCGACGGGCGCCGCGGGCGCGGGCGCGGGCGCCGGGGGCTTGGGCGCCTTCTTGGCCGACTTGGGGTGGTCGAGCGCGACGTCGTCGGCCTCGTTGCCGCGGCCCGGGAAGTGCTTCCGCGTCGCGCGCTCGGGGCCGTCCGCGCCGGCGCCCGTGAGCACGCGGTCCTCGTGGTTGGCCACGTGGTCGACCTGCTTCTTCATGCCCGCCGCGGGCTCCTCGGGCGCCGCGACCTCGGGATGGAGCGCGGCCTGGGCAGCACAAGGGTGATTCAACGTCGCTTCAACGTGAGTGTTCCGCGCGCGCGCGTTACGGAAAAAACATCCACGCTTCGAGACCGTTCCGAGAGATGATCGCTCGTCCAAAAATCAGCCGAAACGAGTGGAAAACGGCCGAGATATGAGCCTTTGAAGTTGGGAATTTCGCTCTCTTGTCCTGCCCTGAGCGCGGCCTTGACGCGCGAGTCGTCGAGGTCCGCGCGCGCGCGCTTCGCGACGGGCACCTCCTCGACGACGCTCTCCGTGCCGCCGGACTTGCCGCCGAAGACGCGCTTGTGGTGGTGCGCGCAGGACAGGTCCGTCGGCGCCGTGTCCTGGGCGATGATGTTGCCGTGGCCCTCGGGCTTGGCCACGGCCGTCTTGATCGACGGCTTGAACGGCGCGGGCTCCGTCGTCGTCGTCATGCCCACCGCGCCGCCCTCCATGGCGTCGGGCTGCGCCTCGAAGTGCTTCTTCGACGGCTGGGCCGGCGTCGGCGGGCCGCCCGTGCCGTCGATGAGCATCTCCATCTGCGTGTCCTCCGCGGGGAAGTGCCCGCGCGTCGACGACGTGACCTCCGCCGGGGACGTCGAGCCGGAGAGCAGGCCCGCCATGGCGTCCTGGCGCTGGTCGCAGAAGTTCGCCATCGTCTGCGGGGGAACATCTGCTCGGCGCCCCCGACGGAACGTTCGTTCTTCGCGCGCGCGCCTCAACCCCCCGACGTCGCCTTCTCTTCTCCTTCCCGAACTCGACCTCGTCGGCGACGCGCTTGTTCGAGCGACCGCGGCGCGCCCCATCAGCGTGCGCTGACAGCTCGGGCGTCGCGAAGGTCGGCCGACGCCGCAAGGCCCTCCGACGTTCCACTTTCTCGGCCCCTCGTCGCAATTTTTTGCCTCACCCCGACGTCGCGAGAACCCAAAGACCCCTCGCGCGCCTCAGGCACGTTTCAAGGGGGGGCATGAGGGGGACACAAGGACGCCGCAGCGCGCAGAGGAGTGCAGTGGCCAAAAGCTAGCGGGTTTTTCGCGGGCGCGAGCTCGAGCTCTCTGATTGGCTCGAGACGGGCTCGCGCGCGTAGGCTTCACCGCAGGCCTCATGCATACGCCTCCTCACCGCCGACGCGTCTCCAGCTGCGTCCCCACGACGGAGAGACGCAACAAATAACGCAGCAACCACCCCCCCCGCT